TTACTTTTTTTGTTAAAAAATTACCGTTTTTTGCCATCGATATATGAAGTTTGAAGGCATTAACTTAAAAATGAAGCCCGAAAAAAAAATTAAAGCAAATAACGAAATGCGAAATTTTGAATCTCTTCTTATTTCAACGGTCTTTCATTTCTTTTTTTTTTTCAGAAGATTTCGTGAATCGGTTGCTTAAATCGTAACTTTTGTACCCGGGTTCAAAACAACACCATTGTTTAGTTTTTATGATCTTTCATAAAAAATACTCAAAATTTTTTCGCGCATTTAATTACTTCGCCAGAAATTTTGTAACTGGAAAGATATTTTATTTCGTCACAATACAGGATTTTTTTTTTACAAAAAAAATATATTTTAAATATTTTATGATTTTTCTAAAATGAATGAATATCGATGCGTTTATATAAAAATGAATTTTAAAAAAGTCATACTGTGATATTTTATAATTAGCGATTTAAAAAGTAAAATGTCGAAAACTTCTTTTGCGAATTTTTTTTTTGTGCAATAATTTATTACTTTTGTTCCACTAGATAGCTGCACGTGTCAAGCTGCTTAGGAATCGGTGAACGTTGTAGCGGATTTTGTTCCGGCACCATTTGATTACGTCGGAGACCAGAAGCGAATGGTGTTGCTGCCTGAAGGAAGAAGGGCTTCCTATGTATAAAAAATATACATATATTTTTTTTTTGTATGAGTAGCATGATTATGTAATACTGTGCATTTTATTCATTGCATTTCCGGTGCGTTTTTTAGAATTACGTAAGCTACTGGTAGAAAGGTTTCATAAAAATATACAAGAGCATTTCACAAGAAATAATTCTTTTTGCAAAAAAAAAATATATATATAATTAAATATTTATTTTAAGTTATTTTGTATGTAAAATAGAAGTTTTTGTTGCTTTTGATACTCTGCAATTTGTTGTTTTTTTATGAATATTAGTTTACCAAATACGTATTGGAGTTTTGCTATTAATGATTACCAATTTTGAATTTTACTATTTTATTATTATTTTCTTAAGAAAAAGTGTATAAGGTAAACTGCATTCATTTTAACTGTCAGGTTTGAGATATTTTTTTATTGTTAAAACTTTTTGGCTAAAAATGGCTTACTAAGGAAAAGGTCGAATAGCAGAACTAAGATGTATTACAAAACAATTAGGTGAAAAAGTAACTGACGATCTAAAAATTATAGACCTTAGAAATCTTATTATAAATAGCCCAAATTATGAGGAAGAATTTGTTAGGGAAATGTTAAATATGATAATTGAGAAAAAGTTAAAAACTATATATAGCACGTCGCGTGTCAGCAAATATTTTGATTTAAATGAAAGATATCTTTTAAGCACTAATGAATTAGAAACACTTCTTAAATTAAAGAAATACAACTCTAAAACTATAAATAAAGTAAAAGGTAAATCCGAAAGCGTTTCACTTGATCCCTGTATTATTAAAAGTGAGGAGAATGAGGTTGAGATTCCTGTCCTTAAGAATACAGAAGCCTCATTAGATATAGGTTATGAAAAATATGCTGCACCAGAGATGTTTACAGGTGAGCATGCCTCGATCAAACATATTCTGCATGATGGTATGAAGTGCCTGCGTCCCGCAGAACTGGAGATTGAGTGTGGGTTTGGACACGTGGTCTCAAAGCCAGTTGTTAGTCCGGGACATTTAGATGGGAAAAAATATTTTTTGGAGGATCAAACAATTGAACTCCTGGAACCGGATTTAGAACAGAATGGTCTACCAAGACCGGAAATAGGGAATGAAACTCAGAATCGCAGACAACGAAGAAAAGAAGCAGAAAAGAGCACACGCCTAGGAAATGAGGATGATCAATTTAGATTGAGAGAATATGTAGCTGAAAATGGGGAGGATCTTGTGCCTTCGTTTACAGGGGAGGGTATGGACAAAAGGAATGTCGTTATACTTAGGGATTGTGAGGTTATGGAAACACACCTGAGGAATTTTGTTAAACTTAGTAATTGTGAGGTTATGGAAGGACAGCTGAGGAATGAGGAATATCAGCCCCCTTGATTCAGGGGATAGAGAATAACGCGAATGATGATGCAAGTGATCAGGAAAAATCAACCATGCAATTAGTTCCTGTAAGACATGAGTTATATAATGATACAATAGGACCTGAAGGAAGGAAGGTTCGTTCTGGGTGCCTTCCGTTCCGAACGAATGCGAGTACTTAACCGACCACGCTAAAACGATCGTCTTCCCGTAATGTTGGTACTAGTTCATATAGATATCACATTGCTACATACTCCCCTGCCTGTGTTTCGGCGAATAGGCGAACGACCGATACCATATTCGTGGCGAACATGTAAGTAGTTACGTCACTTGGTAGGTTGAGTCATTCGTGCGTGACGGCTTGAGAATTGCGTCATTTGTGTGAGACGGCTTTGAGAAGTAACGGCTTATTTGCGTCAATGTTTGACGGTTTGGTTGCTTTTGCGGTGGATAGATGGCGCCACGACAGCGGCGCGAGTAAGGTGCGGTTCAAATCACGGCCAGGGTCACCAATGTAGGAAGGAAGGTTCGTTCTGGGTACCTTCCGTTCCGTACGAATGCGAGTACTTAACCGATCACGCCAAAACGATCGTCTTCGCGTGATGTTGGTACTAGTTCATATAGATATCACACCACTACAGACCCCTTCCTATTGCACCTACTAGAGACAAACATTTTCCTTACCTGCTACAAGTTGACATTTTAGTTTGTTCGCATGCAAAAATGCACCTATTTATATTATCCTTAAATTTAAATGATTTCTTATCATTTTACAAACATTTTTAGTTCATTTTTATAGAATTTATTTAGTAAATCCATCATATAAACAGACTGCTTTTATTGCTCTGTTAGTGTAATAATTTTACTGTTTGCCTTTAGCAACTGCTTGTGAATAGAATTTAGCAATATTTTATAGATTGTTACGAAGAGACAAAGCTTCTACTCTTTTATATAAATATTTTTTATTAATACATGTTGTAAAAATATCACATATTAATGCAACAATTTCATTTATTTTCTCCTCTTGTATTGTATACAAAGCTCATGTAATTTTTCACACATCCAAGTGTGCAAAATAAAGTGTGATATACTAGTAAGTTTGTGAATCAGGTTGTGATTGATAATAATATTCATTGTCAAGGATTAATTAGTCATAAGTGGAATCGTAAATGTAGCTCTTATTAAAGCAATATATGCAACTCAGATGCTGCTAGAGTTGTATTTGGTTCTGATCCCGATTTCTGTGTGTGTTTTAAAATAAAACTTTATTAATGTATGTGTGTGAATGTGCTGAAAAAGTTTTGTGAGGGGAAAAAATCTTCCCACACACATTTTAATGTGTTCAAAGTGTTTTCTCTGATTAAAAGCTAGAATTTTTTATGCATCTAAAAAACACCATTTTGGGAGAAATATTGTTTACTAGTTATACTATTTTCTTAAATAATCAAAATGATATTAGTACCTTTTTAAATATACATACTCTAGACATGAACAACTTTTGAATATAAGCATTTTTTTATGAGTAGGGATTTACTATGATAATAATACTGAATATATATTGTGCACATATCTCATTATTTAATATAGTTGTGTGACTCAGAAAGATTCTTGAAATATTTCTGATTAAAAAAAAATGTTCTTATTTTTAAAAAAAATTCTTATATGGTGATGTAATCATTTCATTAGTATGATTCTTGAGTAGATTTTAAGATGTGTAAAGTGTTTGATGTTTTTTTAGTTCATGAATAGGATTTTGAGTAAATATTATTGAGTTATTGTGTGTGTGTGATTTGAGTTATTGATTCGGGTTATTAACTAGATAAAGTGTAATTTGTATATATCTAATAGATAAGTGGTGATTCTCCCATTTATTTTGAATTTTTATATGTTAATTGTATTGCAGTATGTAATTATGGCCAGAAGGAAATCGTATAGTGTTAAAAAGGTAGTGTTATCTAGAACTTTTTAAGTGATATCTCCTTTAGATAATTGAGATGATTTTAGTTGATCTTCAAAGAACAGAACTTTTCCTTCATCAGAAAAAGTTTTCTCTGGAAGAAGGAGGACTTTCTGGTGAATGTTGTTCCGGCACCATTTGATTAAGTCGATGACCAGAAGCGAATGGTGTGGCTGCCTGAGGAAGTGGGGGAGAAGGGTTTCCTAGAATCCCGTTCCCTTCTTACACGCGTTCCGGATAGACTCCTCCAGAAAGAGGCATGCAAGAGGACCGTTGTGAGGGTCCCGACTGGAGGCAGGAGGCAGAAACGTACTCTGGATGTAAGATTGCTTTTTAGAATGTCTGTAAATAAATTGTACATATTTATATCACTAGCCTGGCTGTGAGTTTTCGTACTCAATACGTCACAATGCTCACTTACTCGAGAGCTCTGATAGCGAGAGAAGGGGAATTTCCATGACAATATGCTATGCATTTAAAAATGTTCTTGCAACGCCGTGGGGAAATAAACCTGTCTGACAAAGAAAAGAAGCGACAAAATTTCGAAACAATAAATTCCAAGTTATACACTCGGTAAAAGCCCGAGCAACGCCAGGCTAAGTGGAGGAGGGGAAGGTGGTGGAAGTCATTTTGAAAAAAAAAAATATCAGAAGTGCTCTTTTTGTGAAGTAAAGGGAAAATTTTTATAAAAGTACAGAGAAAACCAGTGCAACGCCGGTCCATGCAGCTAGTCTTTTAAACTAAATGCGAGATCAGAATATAAATGGTCAAAACATGCATTCTCATCCAAACTAAACGTGTATACAAAATTTTTTATCTCAATCAGTTGAAGATATCATCATCAAAATTGAGTTGCAAGATTAAACCCGAACATTTTACATTGCAAGTTAAATAAAAGCTTGTGTAAAATATAACATACTTTATACGTATACAGAATGAAAGTATTGTAAAATATCTCGCGTTGTACAAATCAAACGAATTTCAGTAATGTTTTACCCCAAAAAATAATAATTGGAGGCACGGGGTATCGATCCCCGTACCTCTCGCATGCTAAGCGAGCGCCCTACCATCCGAGCTATGCCTCGGTCGAGTCCTGTGTTATTGGAAACATGCTCGCCTTAACACCTGAACAAGATCATTACAGTAACTAGGTCGATATCAGAATATCAATCGTCAAATCATGCGTTGTCATGCAAACTAAACGTGTATACAAAATTTCAGCTTAATCGGTTGAAGACATCAGCTTCAAAATTAAGTTACAAGATTCCACCGGAACAAATTATTTTAATTAATATCTTCTTAACTGATTGCGATATCGGAATGTAAAGGGTCAAAACGTGTATTGTCATCCAAACTAAACGTGTATACAAAATTTCAACTCAATCGGTTGAAAACACCAGTTTCAAAATTGAGTTGCAAAATTCCACCCGAACATTTTACATTGCAAGTTAAATAAAAGTTTGTAAAAAGCAGTAGAACTCTCTCTCTCTCTCTCTCTCAAAATATGAAAGCTGCAAATTCGACTAAGGTAAATGTTTTTTTACCTTTTACTGCTTTTCGATATTTAGCTAAACTGCATTGCTATTGTTACCACTGTTTGTGATGGGAAATAAAAAAAAAACGTTTTTCTTTGTTATTTTATATTTGATATTAAATAAATCTGCGTAGAAATTTTTAATTCCTTTTGCAGGGAATTATTTTTATTCTTTCTTAATATATCCACTTTGATCTTTAAGATCGTCAAAAATTATAAGAGATAGTCTATCTGGTGTATATTAATTGCCAGAGCAATTTTTCAACCAACTGGTAAGGATGGAATTTTTGGATGTTTGAATGCATTTCAAGTAGTCTACAGAAATGCTTCACCGGAGCTTTTGGAGAAAACCTGCGCACACGAATAGCTGCTGACGGCCTTAATGATTAAAAGAAAGGTCTTTATACACCAAGTTGCTTCAAGGATGAAGGACCACTTAATGGAGAGGAACGTCTCCCCTACTTCAGCATTACTTTGAAACGCATTCTTTTCACTCATTGAGAGATTTTTATTATTCTTTTACTATTTGATGACATGTGTTGAATTTTCTGGGCAGTTCTCTCTATTTTTTGTGCTATTTTCGTTTATTTCTTTTTTATATTTAGACATGTCCTTTTTTTTAAAATTCTCATCTGTGTAATGAGCTGTGACAAATAGTATTCCACGACGTCTAAAAACTACGTAGCATAAAAATTCTTCAATAGCCATTTGCTGGAGCACTTTATCTATTCGATTTTTTTTACCTTACTTTCGCGTTTTTCTTGCAGTTTTAAAATGACACAAGAGTGAAATACAACTTCTTTCCACTGGATAGATATGAACCATCGTTGATAGAAATTAAACAATTGAATAAAAAACGACTTGTGAATTAAACTTTGTGAAGTTTCTTTCACTGTATATAACACGATAATATGATACATGCTTTTTATTTTTTCTTCACCTTTTCGAAAGACAAAAAAAAAAATATATGGCACCTTCCTACAAAAAGAAGTCTAATAAATTAAAGCGATAAAAAGGTAAATAGAGGGATTTATGAATCCCTTTATTTTATTTATTCATTTATTTTTTATGTATTGCATGAACACTCATTTATAGTTTTTTCAAACTATTTTTATGAGTTTTACGGAATCAATGTTTTATTTTAAAACTAAAGACATATTCTGAACCTCATTTCAAGTAAAATACATCGTTAAGGTTTTTTAATCAATCACACCTATTAAAATTAAGTCATTGAATTTTGCAATTATAATCTTGAGTGTGTGGTCAGAAATAAACCAAAAGATCATGAATCCTGAAATCAAAAAGAGAATTATTGCAGCTAATCGCTGTTTCTTTGGTTTAAAATCATTACTGAAGTATCACTTAATTAAAAAAAATGACAAAAATAATGTGGTATAAGTTAATGATTAAATCAGTTTTGACTTTTTTTTATGCCTTAGAGACATGAACCTTCACAAAAAAGGAAGAGAAAACTATGGCGACTTTTTTTTTTGAAGGGAAGGTCATGTGAACCATATTTGGTGCTGTTCTGGATAATAACAGTTGTAGAAAAGGATATAATTTTGAAATATAAAATATTTTTAGTACTGATGATATATTAAGTCCCTAAAACTAAGTAGAATGAGATGAGCCGGGAATGTAGTAATAATGAGACCAGAACGAGAGAACAGCATTGAAAATGTTTAATGCAACTCTAATAAAAGACCAAAGGAAAGACCCGAAAGGAGATGGAAAGACTGTGTGGATGAGGACTTTGCCATTCTAAAAATGAAGAACTGGAGATCAATTGCTGTGAGAAGAGCATAATGGAAAAACTTCTGAGGAAGGCTCAGGCCCACAAAGGGCTGTCATGTTAATGCTGATGATGAATCCTGAGTGTGTAAGTAGAAATGTCGGTATTCTAATCTCTTTAAATCAAAAAATGTTAATCTTTGCACAGCTCGAAAATTTTTCTTACTACCTTGAAAGATGGATTTAATCCCGCCCCTATCTATAGAATTGTTTGTATAGAATTCACGCAGACAATAATTTTAAAATTGAATAAATAAAATAAATTTAATTCTCTAAACATTGAATTTCATTCAGTTCCATTGTCTTTCGCAGATGACATTCGACTTGGACCAGATTTTTTTAGTCCCAAAACTCCTAAGTATTTTTCAAGATTACCATGTGTTTATTTTTCATTTGTAGGTTGACTGAGATGGAATGCGTATGTTTTGATAAAAAAATTTTTTTAAGAGAACATGACATATTTTTTATCTTGATTAGAGTCGATTGATTGGCCCTTTATTAAGATCGCATTCATAAGCAAAATGAAGGTTTTTGACCTCATAATTTCCTCCCCCTGAACTTTCTACCCCTTCTTCATACCAATGTCAATGTGGGAATATTTGACAAAGTTAACGTGTCCCTCTACATGATAGATCAATATAGGGGCACCAGTCATCGAACCCATGACTTGATAGAAACAAAACCGATTACCAAGACCTTTTCAACTGTTTTTGTGTGGGGTCAAAAGATATAATAACGCTCTCAGCATATGATATAATCGAGTGTTGATCCATTTTTCTCTTCTAAAGTCATCGATCATATTTGCAATCAGAATTTTCATATTAAAGCAAGTTAATTAGTATTCTTTAATGTCAGCTCTCATAACAATCTTTTCCATACACGTTTCTATTTGTAAAGAAATTATGAAGAATATATTGTATGCTTATAAATTTTGTAAATTAAATGTATTCTCTTATCTTATTTAAGTTACGACATTACTTTTCCGTCAATTATTTGAGTCCCCATTTGTAGAAGATCATGTACATGCTTCTCCAGAATGTGAGTTATAATAACACAGGCTACTTTGACGCCATCCTACGACCAGTTGTGTTACCATTCCTTCGGCAACACCCCCACACACAGGACTTACTTTTCAACACGATAAATATAGACACAAAAGAGTTATTGCGAAAGGACTTTTGAGTCATTATTTGTTTTAATAATGAAACATATGGATATAATTTATTTTTTTCCGACGATATCTGCATCCATTTATTCCAAGTTGGATTGAAATAATGGAACTTACTTAAAGTATGTGACCAAAGTATCTTAGAATGTAAATTGATAAGGTTTCAGTACTCACAGTAACTTAATTTACATCCAATATTAGAAAGGGTAATTAGTTATAAAAGTTGACATTTTTCATATGCGTCTTTTACATTATTTCCCCCTCAGGGGGCTCATATTTTTTAGATGAGTACTGGTATTACAATCCCGAGGTGCCCTAATGATTTTTTTCTTTTCCCACGATTTTTTTTTTTGCTTTGGTAAACACGGATGTCTCACTCCCGTGGTACTTTAGTGATACTTCTCTACTTTCGTCCTTCCTTTTTGTCATCATTTTTCCTTTCTTTCCTTTTCTGGTCTAAACCACAGAAATTTAAATTATTTTTTATATGAATACACTTATGGTTTCATTTGTAATTTTATTGCTATAGATTAATTGTTTCATTTGTTGAATTACTTATAATTTAATGCTAATAACATAAAGTAGTTTTCATTTTGTATATTGTTAATCTGGTTTATTTGTTATTAACATTTTCTTTTTACTTATTTTTTACTAACACCATTTGTTTGCTAACCCGGATGTTTACCGTGTGCGGCTTCCTGTTAAGATGAAAATGGTGTCTTTTGGCCAACACTTCCCTGTAAACGGCAGGAGTGATCCCACTCCTGTCAATTGGCTGGTGATAAGTCTCTTTGGAGTCCCCGAAGACATATTGTTGTAGGGCTTGTGCTGCAGATAAAGGATGATGCTTACCCTGATGCTGTAGTGGTATATCCTGGGTATACTCCAGGTAAGCGCCGAACCTGGTTATTGCCAGTTGACCGGCACACTGCCTTTCGTGTTGGACTCCGTGGTAGATGGAGTCACGTCAGGATGAAAACTACTTCGCTTTTATGGATCCAGATTTGTCGTGCCCTAGTAAAGGCCTCATTTTACCCACTTTTAGCATAAATATTGCTGAGCATGTAAGATTTTTATTGGTTTCACTAAAATTTGATTACTAGGCAACGGGCACGGACACAAAATTAAAAACACGGGGTTTAAATTTTAAATATTAAGGTTTATTTTAAAGAAAAAACATTAAAAAAACACTCAATTCAACTAGTAACACTCAGTACATGATTTCACTCCTTCGTACCCAAAGATGGAATGCATTCTTTTCTAACCCCCAAGGGGGCTATTCATCCCCTTTTTCAGCTAGCGCTTCCTTGAGCTGGTGGTGTTGAACACTTCGGTTCTATCCCAAAGAGGAGAAAACTGACCATCCCCCTTAGCAGGTGGTGATGAACCCTTCCACTCCTACAGTTTCCTTACCAAATAACGAAATGTCCAAAAAGTCTCCATTTGCTGCTCATAAACCCCTTATTAGAATAGGTGGTGAACCGAAATCTGTAAAACGATTACGTTCCGGGGATCTGCTTATTGAAACAGTATCAGCTGTGCAAACAAAAAGTCCTTTATATCCTCACTAAAACTTTTCGGAATTCACAGGT